AACACATGCAAGTGCTAGCCAGGGTAGCTCGTCAATTTGACCCAGAAGCATGTGTTAAAATTTAATGCATACGGCCTCGGGTTGTTCACGCGTCCACCCAAAGCAGTCCACGCTGACAATTGATGTGAGGTGAAGGGTCAATGGTACAATACTCCTCTAATATTCGGAAAGGTCATGTGCAAAAGAGCATGCAGAGGACAACTGTGACGACGCATTGCTAGCGATGATGCCAGGTGGTGAGACAAGTTCAGTTGGAATAGCAAGATAGATTACCTTTTAACAGAAGTCGCGCTTTCCTCCAGGAAGTCTGAAGCAGAATATCATGGTTAAAGCATTCATGACACTCTTATTCATCATCATGATGTTTTAATAGGGCTGGCAGAAGCGTTGGAAGCGGAGTAGAGAGAACTTGAAGGAAGGATAGCGGCGAGTGATGAATATTAATCTGCAAACAGAACGCGGATGAGATGGAAATCATACGTGCATGAATAAACTGTACTCACTGTCTGACATAGGGTGTATTACCCCAATATTAATTGGAATCAATTGAAAAAAACTTCACTCAGTTCTCTAATCAGCCGATTTGCACCAAGGGAAGCTTCCGAACAAGGAAACTCTTGGAAGCCTTTGGACAACAAACCAAAACAGCAGGTACTGGACTCTCCCATGCGCTAGCTCCTGCTGCTGTCTAGGACAACGTAGCGCTCCAGCGATGCAAACTCGCGTCATGCATGTATGCCTTTGACAAAGTTGTGATAACCGAAGTGACGTGGATCGTTGACATGGCTACCTCAAGTTAATATGTGATGTATCTTGATTTTCCTCATAGACAGTAGAGCTATTGATATCTGGTACAGAGTGTGATGAAGGTATTGCGAGCTGCGTGCTTTCTGTGACAAGATTTGCTAGTTAGCTCGTAGTATCCTCAATGTCAAAGCATGATTTCCATCTGAAAAAGTATTGTGGTACTTTGAGCTGCTATATGATGTCATGCTCTTCCATTCTCATGTCAAAGGGAAGGACTACGTTGGGTCTGATGATACAATGGACATCGAAGGTAATTACAGTGTTTTTGCGCGTTTACAAATTAAAATTATGACTGATCTCACGTATACTAGGCCTCTGCGATGCTACCCACCTTCATATAGCTATTTCTCTACTGTGCAACTTTCCATTATGCTGCCAGCTTATGCTCGAGGGCGCTTGCTGCTGTCCCAAACGGGTACCGCTACCAAAGCTTACAGTCGTGCTGTGACTACACCACCAGAATGTCATCATTGCAATCCTCAGAACCTTATCGGAGTTGTACTGCTGCACACGTAATGTCGTATTATCTAGTGAAGACGCGCTAGTGCTCACATTATAGTCAGTCTATGTATACAAAGGATGAGCGATGTACTGTGGAACTTCAGAAGATTTGCGTCCTGTGGATTGATACGCAAGGTGCTTCAAAGCAGTGGATTTCACATGGAGGCCATAGCTGCGTTTCCAATAGTGGATACTTCAGGCCCTTGCCTTTTTGCGACATGATGTCGGGACACGATGCGCGTCCGCAGACATACTTTGCCTAGCGCTTCCCCGCTCGTTATGAGGTTCAAAAGCTCTCTCCTTCCCTTTCTCGTGTTTCACTTTATTTTCTCATTTTAGCCACTTCACATTATTTTTTCGATTCATCAATATGACTCTATAAGTCTACTCACATGTCGATTTAGTATTTTCATATACTAACAATACCTTTCGCATTTAGTCCCTCATGTTCCAAATCTTGGATAGGTTGGTGTTCAATCTCGATTTGAATGACGCAGTTAGATTTTGTTAGTGGGGCTATCCCTACATCAAATAACTCCAAGGACCTCCTGAAAATGTCCAATCTGGATGTATCGCATGATCAGCCCGAAGCTGATTGGTTGTAAGTCTACTCACATGTCAACTCGGCATCTTCATATGTCAATGATCCCTTTCGCGTTCAGTCTCTTGTATGATAGTATCCAGGTGTTATTGGATATGTTAGTGTATGCAATCTCGAGTTGGATGATACAGTTCATCTCCTATTTTTCTATTTAGCCTACCTGAGCACGACCAACCACAGATCCAACTATCATGAATCACAGTGCTGCAACATGGGTACGTGCCACGCAAACGGCGTCCCCACCATAGCTTATTTGTTTCTCTAGGGCTTCAGCGTGTTTACAAGATGTCCAATATATTCGGGCATCGTCTCCAACGTTGATGAAATTCACCGCTCTGGTAGTTGGTCTCCCCCAGTTACCTCCCATAGATCTGAGTCAATGCGACCCTCCGCAGCCCTCTCAAGAACCGCTGCAAGGCCACGCATGGTCCTCGAATGGATATCCTGCTGGTTGCTGCACCCATGGTTCCAATATCCCAGGTCCCTACTACAGTCGACACCGCAATCCTAGGCAACGGGTTCGCCTGGTGCGTATCCTTCGTGGCCCTCTGCGGTCATTCAAGCATTGCTGCAAGATCATACATCCCAGCATGGATATCATGCTGGCCTGCCAGGCGCGTATTACCCCAACACGACATCCCCCCAAGGGCACGATATTCAGTTGCAGACGGGATTTAGTGGGAACACCAAATCGGAGCCATCTTCCTCTGCACTCGACAGGACAGCGCCTGCTAATTCTCACAAGCACAAAGCCCGCCAGCCTGTTAAAGTCAAGGTTGGTAGTTCGAATTCATCTCTCCCACACAGGCGCAGGCGCCCGAAGGACGAGGAAATCGGAAAGGGGAAGTTTGGTCAGTACACGCTAACGGATGCCAGTGTCATCGCCATGGCTATGCTTGTTCATGACCCAAAGCCGGTAGACATCAGCGGCTGCAGAACTCATGATGCCTACGGTAATGTTCTTCGAACGAGGAGATTTGGAAAATCGATGATTCCTACCACGATACGTCCGTGCGGATGACGAAGAAGTTCTCAGTAGGGTTGACCTACGTACGCTCATGCGATTGGACCGACCATTCTTGTAGACTCTTCGGAGAGATGAGTCAGGCCCTTGTCGCGGACCACCTGCTGCATTGGCATGATGTCCAGGGTGAAGAATCGGCTCCATGCAAATTTGAGCATTGCTCGGAAACTGAGCCAATGGTGAATTTGGGCCGTCATATTGAAAGCAACTATTATACTACATCCTACCAATACCCCTATTGCAAGAAGCGGTGGTCTAGGACCGATTTTTTGGGTCGGCATCAGAAGAAGTGCACACCTATGCTTGAGAGCAGGGCCCACGCTGAGCGTGAAGGTTACGATTTCTGTCTCCAAGACCCGAAGAGGTTGGTTTATGGGTATATTGTACCTGCCCGCAACACGACATACTCCAGTGTTCGACTTTGTACGTCCCCCTTGTCCTGTGTCTGTCACTGCTGCTAACTTCCTATTGCCGTACTCTAGTATTATCTCCAAATCTTGAAACCTTTTTTGATCAACGCTAACGACACTCGTTTTACTTATGACCGACACTCCTTTTGAACATTCGCTCTTCTTAGCATATTTTCCTCTCTTCGTTATCGCTTGGTTTATCTTCCATATGATTGTTAGATTATCTTTATTGTGCGCTAGACGTAGCTATGGTATCTCATCGCATGGCTCGGTGTATCTTCTATCGACAATAGTTAGATTTTATGAAATATTATACAAGGACACCCCTTTGGTCGGCTCTTCGACGACGTATTAGTTACAGGTTCCGCAGCGAAAGGGGTAGAAGATGGTACATTTTTCTGGAGATGGGTGTTTCATGCTCCATAGGGAAGATACCCGTGCTTCAAGTAAAACTCGATGCTATTTGAACGAACAGGTATAGGCGGTTGGCCTCTTTCATACTGGTCAGTGTGACAAAAGTCCAATCATTATCAGGGGGGTTTACCTCCATCCTATAGCGATAGAGATAGAAACCTTCTTTGTTCTTCTCTCTCCACACATTTGAAAACGAAGTATCAGTGCACACGCATGAATGAGATATCAGAAACGATGTTACGGCTTTAACAGTGTACAAGCCATCATATCGATAGCTGTTAATGGGTGCAAATTCGGACTCGAGCTCGTAGCTCCGGACGACGCGCACGGGTTTGCCTGTGCGTTGAGGTGTCTGTCGTACCGTCATTTTCTGGCTTCACATTCGAAGATGGAGAAACTGACACGAGGTGCTTCATTTCCCTGACCTGTCCAGTCTTGATTGCAAATCTGTCGCCTCTGGGGGAAGTTGATCGATGATCATGCTACAAGAGCAAAAGGGCAACTTACACCTCTCCTGGACCGGTGACGACCCCCTGACGAGAATATGTTGGCATACAATATTGTAGCTCAGTCTGAACACGCACCTGCACCTGTATATATGCTATATACAGAGGTCAGAATGTCGGTCTCACTCAAAGTGCCGCGATAGGTGCTTACAGCGTGTCGCCAGAATCCTCGTGTGCATAGCGGCCTGAAGCAACAATTGCCAAGGCGCCTCTTGTCTGACTGCCCTGAATACCAGCCCTCATGTGGCGCTGCACGCCATCATAATAACAATCTTGGCTGTGAACATGTAGACAAACAAGTTAACTGATATCATCAAACAAGAGGTAAGAATACACACCGAGTACTCCATGTGGTCCTCCGGGAATTTCCCTGAAGTGCTGCCTGCAAAAAAAGTGCGTGAGTAGCGTAGTTTAAGAGAGAAATGCGAAGAAGCACTACTAAAGAAAACCTGGCACGAGTGGCCCTGAGCTCCTTAACCTCTTTTCTGTATACTCCTCCTGGATCTTCCTCCATCACTTCGGCTATCTCGTTTGGATCTTCCTCTTTATCTGCTCGCTCGAGCTACTGTGGAGATCTTCGACTTCGGGTTGTTCTAGAGCGCTAACGTATTCCATTATGTCGCTGGTGACTGTCAAGATGATGGGGATAATTACATGAGGCTAACATGAGGTTCATATGCATAGAATACTGTTTGACGCATCGGAGTTCAAAAGATGTGAGCATCGAAAGGTCATGCCTGGGCCGAGCTGCCCCTCCTAAGATTCAATTCCACCGGCAACTAGATAAGACAAGGCGGCAGTTGCTGATGAAACCAGGCTTCCGGACTGTGGAGAATGATAGCCATGGATCCATGACGCGTCGGCAGTGCAATCGATGGCAGCTAATATCGACTCGCATCTACTGCCGCATAAAGAGGTAGGTTGGATTATGGTGTCAACTCACTCCCATGCGAGCTCTGACAGTCTGCGTCCATTTAGGCTTGGAGATACAGGTCTGATAACATATTGCACAGATAGACCTAAGAAGCAGAGTAATATCAGCTGACAGACATTACCGACGATCCTAAAAGCAAGAAAGTAAGAAAACCGGGAGATTTTACAGTCATAGCTGAGCCGCTCCAAGGGATGAGGTAAACAAGAATGATGAAATTGACAAACCATACCTTCAAATGCATACGAGTATTAGCCAGGGTAGCTCGTCAATTTGACCCAGAAGCATGTGTTGAAATTTGATGCATACGCCCTCGAGTTGTCCACGCGTCCACCCCAGGCTGCGCTGATAGTTGATGTAAGATGAAGGGTCAATGGCGCCATATTCGTGGTATTCGGAAAGGGCATACACAAAAGAGCATGCAGAGGACAACTGTGACGATATATTGCTAACGATGATGGACCTGGTGGTGAGACTAGTTTGGTTGGAATAGTACGATAGATTATCTTTTAACAGAAGTCGCGCTTTCCTCCAGGAAGTGTGAAGCAGAGGTGCATGGTTCAAGCATTCATGATATTCCTATTCGTTATCACGGTGTTTTAATAGGGCTAGCAGAGACGTTGGGAGCGGAGTAGGAAGGAAGTTGGAAGACAGACGGCGAGAAATGAGCGTGAAATAGGATAGACAGCATCTCAGTACCAGGGTCGTATGGATGAATAACTTCACGAAGTTCTCCGGTTAGTCAATGTGCAGTGTGCACCATATAGCTGCCTGAATAGAGTATAATTACACTTGCCGTTGTGGTTCTGCCACCTATAAAGCTTGAACTACGACTGCTCCCAAGTTGAAATACGTAAAAGAAAGGAGACAGTCTCAAGTCATCATCGCAAGTCGACAAGCAGGATGCGTGCTTCAGTGCAGTAAGAATTTCTAAGGTGGTCACCCCGATTTGGCCACCGTTTGTTTGTTTTTCTCTTGCTCAACAAGTCAACGTCCACTGTGATCAGTTTTGCCAATATTCCTTGACTATCATGAACTCGCCCTGGAAAGGCAAAGCAAAAGCCACGAACCAAGATTATGATGACTTGCGACCAACCATAACTTACAGGCACCTTCTATCTAATAACCTCGGCGTTAGAGATCCCCTACGCGTCGTCGCCTTATGCGACAGTGACGCCTTCTATGCTGCCTGCGAACGCGTTCGACTTGAGCTCGACCCGAGCGTACCAATCGTTGTACAACAATGGGAGAGTCTCATAGCAGTGAGCTACCCTGCACGTGAATTTGGCATATCCCGCATGGATAAGATCAAGGACGCCAAGAAAAAATGCCCTAATCTACTTGCTGTGCATGTAGCGACTTACAAGGAGGGCGAGAAGGAACCCGGCTACTGGACAGATATCGATACGCGCACTCATAAGGTGCGTTTTGCATACTCTAACGCTCCGAACGCGACAGAAATGGACCTTTTGTTGCATATTCAACAGGTATCCTTGGATCTATATCGACGTGAAAGTAACAAGATCATTTCTATGTTTAAGGAGGCTCTTCCAACCGGTGAAGTTGGTGAGACGCGCAATATACTTGTTTATTATGGTCAACTGATGTCAAAGCAAGAGAAAGCCTCCATTGATGAAGCATTCATAGACTTTACTCGTTCTGTGAGAGAACAGTTACTTGAACGATATCCATACATTGCCCAAGTTCCTGTTGATGCCCCAAATGGGATAGACAGCCCGCTGCCACCACCTCCTCCAATAAAGTGGGATGATTTGGGGACAGTCTTACTACCAGAAGAAATTGATAGTGCTGGCGAACAATCTAACATTAAAGTTGATGGAAATGCAACATGGCACGATGTAGCGTTGTCGATTGCCGCAGAGCTGATGCGAAAGATTCGTGAAGACATACATTCAAAGCTAGGCTATACAACTTCTGCTGTAAGCGTCATCTCGTCCTTGTCAGCGAGCTCGTAATCATCTTACGCATAATCAATGATACAGGGTATTGCTCGTAATAAGTTCTTGCGAAGGTTGGTGTTCCTCTTCCCTCAATCGATTGCACTCAATCTCTCGCTCGCAGCTTTGTGCCTCTTACAAGAAACCTAACAGTCAAGTCAGTCTTCTAAGTTCCATGTTGGCATCGATAACCGAATAAACATGCATAGACTATTCTCCGGAATCGGGCCATTCCAGATTACCTCCATCCCTTGCCCTTTCAAAAGTATGTCTCTAATCTTAACGCATATTGACTGCCTTGACCGCAAGACGCACTAGATCCGCTTCCTCGGTGGAAAGCTCGGTGATGCCCTAGCGAAAGAATATGATGTTTCAACTGTGGGTGACTTGTTGTGAGTAATGGGCGGTTCTTTTCGATTTCTACCATCGCTCACCCTATTAAAGAACGGTTTCACTAGGTACTGGATATTGTTTTCATCCATCTCACTTTCTTATACATGACAGACGAAATACAAAGCAAGTTCGGTGAGAATGCGCTATGGGTATATGAATTCCTTCGGTAAGATATTCATTTTTTGTCTCCGGCGAACGTTATCCATTATGCAACACCAGTGGCATTGACCGCACTGAAGGTATTTCAATGTGACCTGACCACACCTTTCGCATTTACAACTAGTTCGTAGTCAAAGAAAAGTCTGCGCTGTTCAAGAGCATGTTAGCGTCAAAGAACCTTCCGAAGCCGATAATCCAGCCCTCGGATGGACACCAATGGATCCGAATCCTTGCTGCAGAACTGGCGTTACGACTCAATGATGCGAGAGTGTCAATGCCGACGCTTTGGCCCAAGTCTATTGTGCTTCATGCTCGCAAAGGTGATTTGATCTTACAGCACCGAGTTCTATTTGTTGAGCTGGGGGCACGTCAGGGTACGAAACATCGCGATCCAAACAAGCCACTTTCCCTTTCGTCCGCAATGTGACAGTAGACGTGATCGCGACAGCTGCCGATAAGCTTTGGAAAGACCTTACTGACGACGCAAAGACCGTCAATATCACATCGGTCCAACTAGCATTTACTGGCCTGGAGAAGACCGAGATGGGCCAGAAAGCATCGAAGGGTTCTTCACAACTCGAGATGTCCAGCAAACATCTCTCAAACGTTCGCGCGAAGATGATGAGCCTCTGGTCTCGCCTGAGAAGACTCTGCCCACATCTAGCTATGTCGAGGCTGTTTCATTCAAGTGTACCCGATGTCGTAAGACGATCGCCCTTCGAGAAGACCAAGCGACAGGTGGTCCCAACGAAGTAGCACAGCGATTGGCAACGTTACGATCGGAACATGGCGACTTTCATTTTGCACAGGACTTGGCACACAGCACTGACGGGTCGGTGCCTGTACCTCGCGGTTCATCGTCGAAACGGAAGAAAGTGGAATCAGAAGGAATTGCGAAGTTTTTCATCAAGAAGTAGGCAGCTTAGTGGCATGATGCAATCGGGGAAAGCCATGATGATATATATGATAATCACGCCTCTGCGAGAAAATGAGTTAGATCGTGGTATGCGCATATGGAGTGCATAGGTTTTCACACAGGTATGTAGTATGTTTCTGAGGCAGTGTAGAATGTGGCAGTTTTGATTGATCGTCACTATTGCATTGGCTAGCTATTCAGAGCGTGGTCATCTCGCACCATCAAAATCTCAATTGCCGAGTTCCGACACAGTCATATGAGGAGAGAAATGATGTTTTGATCGAAACGCTGTCGTTCGTTCGTTCGCGCGTTCGTCATCTTTCGAAATTCTTTCTGCGGACTGTGTCCCACCTTTCGACCTCTGAGAGGCACGTTTCCGCGGCTAGTCCGTCATTCTTCGTTCATTTCCCCCTGTCTGGGACAGCTGGTCGTTTAGTCTTTTACATTTCAAGAACCCTCAAGGCATACGTCATTCACTATCATGTTCTCGAATTCCCATTTCACGTCCTTCTCTACTGCTCAGGCAAATGGATTGATCGTGAGTCATTAGCACGAATTATCGCAAATATCTAATGATCATAAACAGGTCGTTTCCGTGTTCGCCTTGTTATCTGCGTTAGCGCTCGCTTTCATATTTTCAGGAGTATCCGTCTTGTGGTTATCCCCTTATTCCAGCGTAATGGTCTGCGTGCAGAGCTCCGGAGAACCTATTCTTCCGTACTCAGCTGGGCCATTATGCTGCCTCCCTTGTTTTAAGCAATGTTTTCCTCACCGCAGCTGGGCTTATGGAGTTTTTCTGGGTCAAACAATCTGGGATCCATCAAGGTAGCGCTTTCGGTATTCAAACCACTTACTGTTGTACTGACGGCTATCAGGCTCCATGTGCACTTTTCAAGGTATTTTAAGCTGATAGCGCTATGATCAAACACTGAGTAATCTTGTGACCAGCTGTCCTCATGCAGATTGGTACCTGGTCCACCTGTTTCTTCTCTGTTGCTATCGGTATCCACACGTGCAACTCCCTGGTGTTTCGTCTCTACCAAATTAGTTATCTGAGCGTCGTGGTTATCGCGTTTGGATGGATCATGTCGCTCG